TCACATGCAGTATTAGTATTTTAATATAGATGCTTTAGTGAAGAAGATAAGGGAAACAGCATTAAATAGGAAAGCTCTACTAAGAAAAATAATATACTTTAGAACACTCATGGACTTGGACATAAAATTCAATACAGGCTTCAAAGAAATTGGGTTGCAGAATTAGCAAAAAATCAGTATAAACTATTTCTCTTCTCTATTCCTTTTTTTAATCTAGAAGTCATTGTGGGGGAATGTTATATTTTAACAGGTAAAGATGGTTTCTTTTTAGCCTAGTGATGAAGGCTAGAAGTAGTTGGTTAGACCAGGAGAAGAAAAGGATTACTTTGGCAAATGTGGGAGAAATGGAATATTGACAGAGCCATTGACTTATGAAGACTTTTGGTGTTTGGAGTGCTAAACTCTTGACTGTCTGACTCCATTTAGACATCTTTTCCAGGTCCCTCCATAATGTCATCAGTGTGGACACTCCCTCCACTGATCAGCCTCTTCATCCTTTAGAAGACTATGTGTAAGGGATCTGGGAGGTCATCTAATCCAGTTCTGTCATTATATAAATCTGGAAGTGATGCTCACAGATGGCAAGAGGCTTACCTGGAGTCACGCGAGTAATAAACAACAGAAGCAGGATTTGAAAACAGGTTTTATGAACCTTGTCCTTTCCCCCTTCACTTTATGGTCCACCAACATTGGCCTACTTAAAGTTTCTCAAATCCCCATCCATCTATTCTCTTTGTGCCTTTGCACGGGTGGACCCCTACCCAGGCACACTCTGCCCATTCATCTCCAACTCTTAGTTTCTCTGGCTTCTTTCAAGATAGTTAAATCCCACTTCAGGAAGAGGACTTTTCTGGTCCTCTCCCCCTGAGCCCTAGTTGTTAATACCTTCCCTTCTCAGCCTTCCATCTACTCTGTCCATATCTTGGACACCCTTAGTTATTTACACGTTGTTACCTCTGCTAGAATGTAAGCTTCTTGAGGGCAGGGGCTGTTTTGTTTATGCCTCTCTTTGTAATCTCTGGTGTTTACCAGTGTCTGCCACATAGTAAGTGCCTAATAAGCATTTGTTGACTGACTTTCAGCTTCTCCATACTGCTCTGATGTGCCACAATTTTTGACTGCCTTTCCAAAAATCTTTGCAAGAGAATCGACCTGCCCTGATTGTGTTTCTATATCTGATGCAATAGATCACTTAAAACCTGAGGATTCAATCATTCATTCCTTTCAATAAAAACTTCTGACAAACTCTAAGTGAAAGGTAACCATCAAAAGGCATTCTAGAAAACTAGAAGCCTCCGGCAAAGAAATTATAAGCATTTGGCAAGTAGGGGGTTCCCTAGGGTTTCAGGAGCTCACTTGCCAGAATATTAGAGTTGACTCTATATTCCCCCTGCCCAAAGGGCCCATAGCTAGGTCTCTAATCAGACAGCTGGGAATAAAATTAACTCAGACTGCCCCAGATCTGCATGACAGCCTCCTTGCTCACAACAACTTCGTTATGAGAGTGTTTGGGAGAGGAGGGAGGAATGCTGCTTAAGCCTCCCCAGTTCCACAAGTCCTGGCCCACAACATGACCCCATACACCAGATGACTGTCTTTGGCTCTTTCAATATTTGGAGGAAACCAGTGCAGTGCTTAAGCTGTGCTGCTGTCCTGCATTCTTATTTTCCAGTGATAGCAGTCCTTGATGTCTTTTGTATCACTTCTTGGCAACAAGTCAGTGTGGTAATGAATTTTATCTTTCTTACAACCATCCTGAGTCTTCTCATTGACCTTTGGGTCACCTTCATTTCTGAGTCTTCTAAAATCAAAATGTTCCATAATGGGTAACTATGTGACAGTACCACCAGAATACTGAGGTTAAAATGTTTCAGGGCCACAGAACAGCTTGGAATTCATGAAAATGTTGCACTTTCCTAAATGTGATTAAGCTCAATCTCTTCCTATTGAATTTGGGGTACAGCTCATTGTCTATCTGTACCTCCTATCCAAGATATACCTTCTAATGGACTAACTCAAGGGCTCCCCACACAAATGTATTTCACGGTCTAGGCAATATCAATTTTTCGTCTATTTGGTTTGTTCAGTGTAAACTGTTAGGGTGATCTCTTTTAGGAAACCATCATTCTCATTGAGGAGGGTGTGTAGCATTCTGGGATTTTTTACAATCAGTTCAGCACCATTCTCAAAAAGAAGCAGCTGGAGAATCTCCCAATCTATAAGCAATACTTCTCATACTTAGACTGTGTAGGATGCTTTCCTTAACAGTGACAAACACCTTTGATGAGAAATGAATTTACGCTCTAAGAGTAATGGGTTTGGGTATCCCTGACTAGACTGTGCCTACACAAATCCCAAACTGGCAGTAAATTGTAAAACTAGTGACAAGAAGAGTATCTATTAGAATGAAAGACAAAATAGTTAATTAGCTGCATTTATATTTTTCCAGGGCTGTTTGGCCTTAAATAGACATAGTCTAGATGTAAATAGGTTGCAAGGGTCTTACAAACGTAGTTAAATTTCTTTTTGTAAGCCATGGGGATGGTAGTAGTTGATCCTTTTGGGAAAAGTTGCTTGCCCTTGTCAGAATTCCACTAAGCTTTTGTGCCTTAGTAGACCATATGGCTAGGGTCCCGAGCTTCTCAGTGGCAGGAGATCTGTAGGGGCAGGTGAGGGCCATATGGGAATCGATGTATTGTGAGTTCTTTGAAGACAGGCCTTTTTGCCTCTCTTTTTATCCCTAGTGCTTAGAACAGTGCCTGGCACATAGGTGCTTAATGAATGCTTGTTGACTGACTAGCTAATTGTGATGGTGGGGATGGCCAGGGGATAGGAATCACAGGAGAAATAAAGCCAAGGAACCTGGCTCTTTGCCTTTCTTTTCCCCACTCTTCTCTTCAAGTGATACCTTTAACCCACACCCTGAAACCCTCTTCTCCACTGAGATGTCACTTTAGCTCCTTAATCCTTGCCTTCAGTGGCTTTCCTCTTTAAGCTGTCCCATATGTTCATTACCCCCATGTGCAACATACATCTGTCTCCATGCTTTTATTTACAGTTTAAATTAGAACCGGGTGTCACTAAAACAATAAATTGGCTACTGGCTGTTGTTCTCTATCCCCCACCGTGACCCCTTCTCCCCAGCCCTGAGGGAACTGAGTGCTGACAATTTTTCACTATAACTCGGGTGTTTCCTGGGGACTGTCTTTTTGGCTAACACACTTAGTGCCTTTCTCTTTTTGTTTCAGATGCTAGAGTGTATATTTCTCTTCACCAAACAAATAACTCCAAATGTTCATTTATTTTGTGTTTCAGTGGTGTTTTGCCCTTCTGAGGGATGCATGCTACACCAACTTTTTACTTTTCTTTTCAAATAGGAGGAAAGAAGAGACTAGAAGTCAAAAACCCTCAAACCATTTTACAGACATGGAAAATGAAACACATAGTAGTAATTTTGGCACCTTGGGGAAAAAGCATAAAGTAATTCCTGTGACAAGTAGCACTAAATGTATTCTCAAACAAAGTAAGGAGAGAATCCCCAAAGCTGTTGTGTGGTGGGGACAGAACCCTGGTGCACCCCAGGCTTCCACTGGGAAGTTGTTAGGGAAGGGGGGAACAAGTTAAGGTAGAGAAATCACCCAACAGAAAATTTTACTTCTTCTAAATGTCAACACCCTGGAACAAAGCCTCAGTTGCCCCATCCTAGTTAAGGCTCTGAATAATAGCAAAGTTACTTGTTCCAGATCACATAGCATGTCTGTTCTAGATTTGGAAATTTTAAGTCAATTCATCCCACATTACAAACTATGTTCATTTCTATCTCCATACCCTTGGATAGCTTCCTGTCACCTGAAATGTCTTTTCTCATTCCTACCTAAATATTACCTGTGCTTTCAGGGCCAGATAAGTCCCACCTCTTTCAGGAAGCTATTTTCAACAGCTCCAGCCTATATTGATCCCCTTGGCCTCTCATAACTTCTGTGACATTATGTAGTCACAGAGCACACTATTTTGGATCTGAAAGGGATCTTGGGGAGCATCTTGTTTATTCTCCCTAAATTTATGAAGGTAGAAACAGGGGCATATAATATTAGTCTATCTGGACTGACATTCTGATTGTACCCTCCCTACACCTTCTGCCTTAACCCTGTCCTTTACTCTGTCCTCTGGGGAGGTTGAGCAGCTGGTTCAGACTTTTGGAATTTGTTCTTTTGATTTATGCAGGCTCCAGTTTTCTTTCCAGTGAAGGCTGTTTTAGCCACAAACCACTTTACTCCACGGTTTACATTTTAAAATAAAAATAAACTTATACTGACAAAAAAAAAATCCTAACTATGTGACAGTGGATAAGTGACTTCTCTGAGCCTCATGTAAATTTCTGAAAGATGGGTTGGCATCTGTATTAATGGAAAAAATTCCCATACAGAGGAAATCTCTGGTCCTTCACATATTGTATGTGATTTTTTTTTCTATATATCAGGCTTGGGCATCCCTGACTGGAATATACCTATACATCCCCCAAATGACCAGTCAAACCACTTTGATAATTTAACCATTTGGTCAAATTGACCAGTTGGTTTAACCATTTGGTCAAACTAAGTGGTTTGACCAATCATCAAGCCAAAAACAAGAGTATCCATTAAGAAGACTGACAAAGCAGCTAATTGACTGTCCAAACCTCCCATGCTGGGTTTGTTTATTGTAGGGTTTTGTTTTGTTTTGTTTTTTGCCTAAAAATTACCTTTTTCATAAGTGGTCTGAACCCTTAGAAGTCAGTGCATTAGTAAAGGAATTGACCATTTCCCCCTACCCCTTCCATAGCACCCATTAACAGACTCACTGTCTGTAAAGACAAAGGTACCAGTAACAGAGAAGCCTTTAAGCTAATAATACATACTATGAACTGATGAACAGAACAGTAAGACCTAAATATCTAGTTTCAATCACAGTTTTGCTAGCAGCCTTCCCTGCTCCAAATTGATCTCTGCTCGTAAACTTACCTTTCCTTTATTGAGTGACGACAGCCAATTCAGCATCTTAGGAGTTTGTCCTTTCCACCCTTAGCGAATGAATTAAGCACGAGCTGGGGGGAACACAGTTGAGCTCAATAATCAGTATTGTAGTCAATGATAGAACAGACAGTTGATCACGAACCCATTTGTGAAATAGTGCCTCATCTGTATTGCCTTAGAAAAATTGTAACAAGTTAAGTCTCTATCAGTGTTTTAGCCAGGTCCAAATTCAAAATGTCTACTCAAATGGACATTTTTAATATAGAATAATAATATTCTATTATAATAAGCATTTACCTTTTGGGGTTTTTATTATTGAAGATTTTATTACTAATGTGAATCAATCTGTTCATTCAGAACAAAGGAATATAATGAGAATTTGATCATAGAATTTTGTGAAATAAACTGAATTATTTCAAGCACAGGCCAGACAAGGTCATAGGATGCAAGGCTATTGGAGATAATGTTCAAGAACATTAGGTTATTTGCTGCCTGGAAAAGTTCATCAAGAGTAGCTTATCATATAAAACAATGGTCAGATGTCCATTGTTTCCTAATAGAGGGCTGGCATCTGAAAAAGGCTAACATTGGGAGAAGTGGCCAACTGGAAGAGTCCATTGAAAGTAGTCCTGGGGGGAGAAGGAAGATGCCTCTATGCTAAAGTCATTCATGCTAGAAATCATCAAACCTAGCACCTGTAACTTGGGCTTGTCATGTCTTTCACTGTAATACAGTGATGCTTCAGACTTCTTACATTACCTGCAGGTAGCAGCCTTTACCCAGGAGCCAATACATGCAAAGCCTGAATGCCAAATGACCACACTATGGAAAGTCATGACAACTGGTTCTTGAAGAAGAGGGTAAAAGAAGGCTGGCAAGGCAGATGCTCAAAAAAAAAAAAAGAAAAAACCCTCACTCCTCATCTCGTGCAAGTCTTGCAGTGAGCGATGCAAGTCAACTGCAGGCCTCAGACCAGGACTGGAATGGTAGCAGGTGCACTAGGGCCAGCAGCAAATGGATTTTTGTGGCAGACGCTTCCTAGCCAAGACATTTTGCAAAGTTTTTTTTTAATCTCTATGATTTCATTATTATGGAGGGGCCAGTTGTGGTACAGTAGATAGGAAGACCTAGCTTCAAGTCTGGCCTCTGAATGGCTGCATGACTTTGGTCAAGTCACTTAATCACTCTGTGCTCCTAAGACCATGAGTGGCAGAAAGGCCGCTGACCTGCACTGGTAGAGGGTTTTCTTCACCAGGACCTATAGATAAATAAAATCAAAGGTCCAGTCCTTTAAAAAAATTTTTTTTTTGCTACTGTGACTTTTTTTACTGACTTGGAGAAGTGAGTCAATATACTTTGCTGGTAGAACAATGAGTGACCCCAGTTAAGTCATACTGGTCCTCTGTGCCTCAGTTTCTTCATCTGTATAATTACAAGAGCACCTGCTTTGAGCAGGAGCTTAATGATATCAGCAAAGCATTTGGAGCTCCCCAGAAAAAAAAGATGGCACTTCAATGCATTGCCTTTATCTTTGCAGTCACCCAGACCAAAGGAATTCATTTGCCACAGCAGAATAATCTTTCACAGCCTGGAGAAGAGAGGTTCCTGGTGAGGTTTTAACAGTCTGTGGTGTTAACTGCCAGGCTGAGCTTAATAACAGAATATAGATACTAACAGGATTTGCAGTGTTAACTACCAAGCTGAGGTTAGTAATGGAATATAGATACATGAGACCCAACAGGAAACCCGATCTCTGACTTTATCGGCCACAAGGAATACCAGGGTGTTAGTAATGACAGCTGCCCAGAAAGCTAAGTGAAAAGAGCCCTAGTACTATTCCACAGTAGAGATTTTCCCTTCTATGTCAAAGAGATGTTCTTTTCTTTATGTTCCAAAAACAAACGGGAGAATCTTCCTCCAAAAGGACAATTGCCCATTGAAGTTTTGCTATTTAGCAGAGCCATCACCAGCAATTCAGCCCCAATGAAACAATTCAATGAAGTTTTTATTGTCCATTCTTTGAACCTTTCTTTTTCCTAGCATTGTGACTAGATTGTGGCTTTTAACCATGGAATGATACAAGGCTTCAGTCATAAGGGCTACAGTGACAGAAGGACCATGTAACAGGTTTCCTGTGTAAAAACCTCATTATGTGGCTGTCTGTCATAACCTTAGCAACAGTGGGCACTAAAAGGGGGCAGCCTGATGAAATGTATAGCCTCAAAATTTACAACATAACATTGTTAAGTGACGGGTACAACTCAGAACTTAGACCCCAGGCAATATATTGTATTAGGACCTTCTGAAGGCTCTATCTTTCCATTGATCCATTCAGGATACTGCCCATTAATGTGGTTAAGAGTTACTTGAGGGCTGAGGGGAGGAAATGGTTGGGTGGGTCCTTAGATGTCTAAATCTTTTTTGTTCTTAGAATAAAGAATTCTTAGGGGAACAAATGTGATTTTTAAACATATGCAGTCAGAGTTTTGCATTTCATTGAGAGATTCTTTGTCTATGACTAGAACCAAATGCAAAATAAGGTGAAAAATAGTCATGTCAGAGGCCAAAGATCATCACCTCCTGAAATAGAATACCATAAATAACCACATTACACTACATTATAGCTAGGATGAGAAACCTGAGAAGGTTAGCACAAGCTGACATGTGGTATCATTCAAGAATTCTGTGCCCATAAATTATTATCCCCTCCCCACTCCTCCTCTTCTGTCATCCCTAGAGAGTGCCAGAGCCCCTGAGCCTCCCCACAGCTACTAACAGGAAGACTTAAATATTGGATATGATGTTAGCAGCCCCAGACATTTCTTTAGAGGTTGGGTCATAAGTCATGATTGGGTTCAGAATGGTCCCAGGGACCTAAAAAAATGCCCAATATAAGAGGCACAAACAAAGATGAAAAGGGAAGGAAAAGCAACGGGGGTCATTTAGGTCATAACTCTAGAAGGTGGAAGGTGGGGGTATTGTGGCACAGAACCAGATGTTGTAATCCCTTTCAGAGCAATATTGGACAAAAGAGCACACCAATCTAGATGTAGACCACAAGGGTTCCATGGGTAGATTTGGAACTCAACTGGTCTCCAGAAAGAGGAAAGAAGGAAAGGATACTGGATAGAATGTCTGTTTCCCCTCTTTAAACCCTACTCCATATCAGATTTATGATTAAATGAAAAAAAAAGCACTAAACTAGTCATTAAAAGACTTGGATTCTAGTCCTGACTATACCCTTGTGGGACCTTGATAAAGTCTCATCACTTTTCTGGGACTCAGTTTATCCTTCTCTAAAATGGGTATTGTGATAGCTGGCCTGCCTCCCTCATTAGGCAATTTTATGATAGAGCATCAATTTCAAAATATTTTGAAAAATATAGAAAACAAAAAAGAAGAAAAATATAGAAAACTATAAATTCTCAAGGTATTATTGCTATAGTAGATAGTAAAGAAGTTAGAGAGGAAATAAAGCATTCTTTATAGTGATTAGATGCTGAGGAGCCTTGTCTTAAGAACAGGAATATAAAGATCTAAAAGATCATAACTGTATTGCCACTATCATCTCCTTTAAAAAAAAAGTAGAAGAACAATTAGAAAAGACTTTTTCCATGGCATCTTTGAATTGCAAAATGGGACTGGGTTGACCAAGCCCATTATTCTCTTGAGAGTGACAGAACTATGGTGGGAACTAGAATGGTGAAAATGGCAGGAACTAGCACCACATTTAGTGATGGGGGAAGCTTTCCCATCCACCAAATGACTACAAGGCTTGGCAGAGTGACCTCAGGTTTTACTAAAGTCCCCTCTTTACAATATCCACCCATGGATCCCATAGGGCCAAACAGAGGAAGTCTAATCCATCTTCCTCGTGGCCAACTATTCTAATTTCCCCCACCCACAGTCTTTCTTCCAGCATAAGCATCAACAATTCCTTCAACCAATTCTTTTTTAAATTTATTTATTTTTAGTTTTCAACATTCACTTCCATGAGATTTTGAGTTCCAAATTTTCTCCCCATTTCTCCCCTCCCTCCACCCCAAGATGGCGTGCAATCTGATATAGGCTCTACATCTACATTCATATTGAGCCTATTTTCACATTAGTCATGTTGTAAAGAAGAATTAGAACCAATGGGAGAAACCATGAGAAAGAAGAAACGAACAAACAAAAAAAAAGAGATCAAATAACGTGCTTCAGTCTGCCTTTAGATTCCACACTTTTTTTTTCTAGATATGGACAGCATAAGTCTTTTGGAGTTGTCTTGGATCCTTGCATTGCTGAGAGGAGATGAGTCTGTCAAAGTTAGTCATTGAACATTATGGCTGTTACCATATACAATATTTTCCTGGTTCTGCTCGCTTCACTCAACATTAGTTCATTTAAGTCTTTCCAGGTTTTTCTGAAGTCTGCCTGCTCATCATTTCTTATAGCACAATAGCATTCCATTACATTCATGTACCACAACTTTTTCAGCCATTCCCCAACTAATGGGCATCCCCTCAATTTCTAATTCCTTACCACCATAAAAAGAGCTGCTATAAATATTTTTGCACATGTGGGTCCTTTTCCCATTTGTATGATCTCTTTGGGATACAGACCAAGAAGTGGTATTGCTGGGTCAAAGGGTATGCACATTTTTGTAGCCCTTTGAGCATAGTTCCAAATTGCTCTCTAGAATGGTTGGATCAGTTTGCAATTCCACTAACAATGTGTTAGTGTTCCAATTTTCCCACATTTTTTCCAGCATTTATTATTTTCCCGTTTTGTTATGGTAGCCAATCTGATAGGTGTGATGTGGCACCTCAGAGTTGTTTTAATTTGCATTTCTCTAATCAATAGAGATTTAGAGCATTTTTTCATAAGCTTTCTTCATCTGAAAACTGCCTATTCATATCTTTTGACCATTTATCAATTGCAGAATTTGTATTCTTGTAAATTTGACTCAGTTCTCCATATATTTTAGAAATAAGGCCTTTATCAAAGACACTGGTTGTAAAAATTCTTTCCCAGTTTTCTGCTTCCCTGTTAATCTTAGTTGCATTGGCTTTGTTTGTGCAAAAACTTT